TTTCCCTGCAGTCCTGCGGCTGGAGCGGCGGCGTGTGGGATGACCGAGACATTGTGTCGTGGGCCACCGCCGGCGGGCGCTGCATCAGCGCTGACGAGGCGGCGCAGGTGCTGGCCGAGGACCCAGAGGCGGAGGAGGTGACGGTGCAGGCATCCAGCGACGGCAGCGTCACGGGTGCGTGTGTGTGGGTGGTGGTGGCGGGGCACAGGCACGGGCCGGGAAGGCAGGCGGGCGCGCAGGCCCACAGCGCGCCCTGCTCGCAGCGCAATGGCACGCATGCTGGGCCTCCAGCCCCGGCGATGCGCCTCGCCAAGCCCCGCGTGCCGACTCGCACCGCCCCCCTCCACCCCTTGTGCCCCGGCCTGCTGCAGCCTACGAGGATGTGCGTGCGGAGCAGCTGTCGGTGCGGTGCCTGCGCAAGCGGGGCTACATGAGCGACGGGGTGCTGGGTGCCGCCATGGAGTGGTTCAATGCGCTGTGCGTGGACGATGTGGACATGCCGGCGTTCAGGGAGTGGCAGCAGCTGGTGGACCCGGCGGCTGCCGCGGCCGCCGCCGCCGAGGATGCCGCCGCCGCCGCCGCCGCCGGCGCGGGCGACGTCGCCGCCAAGGCGGCCGCGGCGGCGGCCGCCAAGCAGCAGGCGGCCGGCGAGGGGCCGGATGACTTCTGGGCGCTGCAGCAGGTGGGGCGCTGTGGCAGGGCCTCTGCCTCGGCAGGGCTGGCCGGGCCCCCACGAGCCTGCCGGAATCGCCTGTCCCCTGCTGGCCTCCTTCAGCCGACCCGTGTGCGGCTGCCGACTCGTGTGCTGCTGCCCCCGCCTCTGCAGGAGTTTTACAAGGAAGAGATGGCTGCGCAGAAGGAGAAGGGCGCAGAGGCGGCGGCGGGCGACGCGGCGAGCGCTGGGGAGCCCCAGCAGGAGGCCGCCGAGGAGCAGCCCGCCGCGACAGCGCGGTAGCGCGCCCGTTGCCCTACTCTGCTGTTTACACGGTGCCCTGCTCCCTCCCACTTCTGAGTCGCATCGTTGTGCCAAGTCCTTTGTTTATGCTACGCATGTTTCACATGCTGACGGCTCGCCGTCGCCAATGGCTGTGCCCGGCTCAGCGGCGGCTGTTGCTGAGGTCTCGCCCCGTGAAGGCCTCCCGCTGCCTCAGCGCCCGCTGCTGGTCGCCCAGGAAGCGCAGCCACTCGTCGGCCGTCTTGCCCTCGCCTGCGGGGGCGGTCGCAAAGGTGGACAAGGGCAAATGGGGGAAAAAATGAGGCGACAGGCATGCAAGGAGCAGCTGCTGCCACGCCAAGCTCACCCAGGCAGGCCGCCCTCTGCCCCACCAGCAGCCCCACCAGCGCCAGCCCACATCCCCAGCGCCCCTCAATCTCACGTTTGAGCCAGGGCGTGGCGGCCACCGCGGGCGACGTCCACCACTCGCTCAGCGCCTGCCGCACCCGCCCCACCAGCGCGGCGCCCTCCTTGGCCGCCGCCGCCGCCTCGCGCAGCTGCGCCAGCGGGGCGGAGCCGCCGTCCTGCTGCAGCGCCTGCGCCTGCGCCTGCAGCTGCGCCGCCGCCGCCTGCAGCTCTGCCAGCTGGGCGGCGCTGCCGGCCGCCAGCGCAGCCCACTGCTCACGCACCGGCTGCAGCTGCTGCAGCTCGGCGGTCGCTGCCTGCACCAGCGCTGCCGCATGGCCGCCGTCCTTGAGGTGAGCCAGCGGGTCCAGCAGCTGCGCGGCAGCTGCCGCACCGGCGGTCGCGGCGCCGCGCCAGCCGCCACCGCTGCCACCTCCACACGCCGCTGCCGAGCCCGCCTGCTCCTTGCCTGCACCCGCCGCCGCCGCCGCCGTGGCGCTGCTGCGGAAGGCCGCCAGCTCTCGCCGCTGCACATCCAGCAGCCGCTCGGCCAGGTCCAGCAGAGGCTGGCGCCGGGGCAGGAGGTGCGCCTCCACGTGCTCTGCCGCCCGCCACGCGCCCTGCCGCCACTGCCGCATCACCCGGCTGTCCGCCACACACAGGGCACGCACCGCGGCATCCAGCGCCGCCTCCCGCCGCTCCAAAGCCACTAGCTCCTCCCGCTGGCCGGTCACCTGCTGTGCACGCTGCGCTGCCACGTCATCTGCATCCTCCGCACGCCGCCGGGCGCCCTCCAGGCAGGCCAGCCCCGCGCGCAGCCCCGCCTGCTGCGCCGCCAGCCGCGTGCGGGCCTGCTCTGCGCCGTCGCCGGACGCAGGGCTGGCGCCGGCCAGGGCCTGCGCCGCCGCCGCCACCTCGCCCCGCAGCTGCTCCAGCTGCTGCTGCCGCGCCGCCGACGCGCGCCACCGCTCCTTCTGCTCCTGCTGCAGCCGGCCGAAGGCGGCGCCCAGGGGCGAGGCCGCGGGGCCGGCGCCGGCGCTGGGTGGCACCGCAGCCGCCGGCCAGTTGTCTACAGCATCAACATCAGCCTGCACACAGCCTGCGCTGGCAGCGGCAGCACGCAGGGCGGCAGGGCGACTCCGCTCAGCGCACATCGCCGGCGGTGGCATCGAAGAAGCGTGGGGAGGGGTGGGCGTGCGCAGGCGGTTGCCGCTTTCAGGCTGGCGTGCCTGCCCCGCCCGCCGCTGGGAGGCCCACCTTGCAGCGCCTCGAGGACGGCGCCAGCCCCCGCCGCTGTCAGGTGTGCCCTCATGGGTGCGCACAGGCGGCCGAGCTCCAGCAGGACCTCCGCAGCTGGGCCTGGCCCCGCCTCAGAGGCGGCGCCGCCGCCCAGCGCCGCTGCCGAGAGCGCCGCCTCCACTTGTTCCAGCCCCCTCAAGGATGACTGCAGGCGTTCTGTGTCTGTCGCCTGTTCTGTGTCTGTCGCCTGCTCCTGGGCGCCCTGCGCTGCTGCCAGGCCCAGCCCCGCCGCCGCCTGCCGCAGGTGCGCGTCGTACTGGTGGAGCAGGGCGGCCAGGCGCTGCAGGCGGCGGAGGTAGGCGGATACCAGCACAACCTGCACGGCGCGCAGGGGAAAACCGAGTCGGTGGTGGCAGGTGGGCACACTGCGGCAACACGCGGGGCAAGTTGCGAGCCCTGTGGGTGGCCACGCCTCCATGCCCAGGCTCCCACCTGCGCTCCCAGCTGGGCAGTGCGCTGCTGCGTCGCCGCCACCGCCTGCTGGCTCTGCAGGGCGGAGGCTTGCAGGGCATCGGCTGCCGCCTGCAGCTCTCTCAGCTGCCCCTTGGGGTCGTCTGCTGCCAGCGAGCCGTGGGCCATTATTGCCGCTCAGGTTCAAATGCCGCCTTGAGTGCAACTGCTGGTAGCTGTCACCGCTACGAACTGTCGCTGGGGTGGTGCCCAGGGTTCTCAGCGACAGCAGGGCTGCAAGGCGATGGTGAAATGTTGCCCCGCTGTGCCGCAACCTGCTACGCCGTGCTGCGCTCGGCTTGGGCTCTCAAGCTTCCCTGAGCCCCAATCGACCGTGTTTGCTGTCCAATAGACATCAGCTAGCGGCCTCGCAGCTTCGAGATGGCGCACCTAGTGGGCGTGTCGCTGTTTGGCCTGGCCTCCACGCCTACCGGCACCGCCTTCCGCTACAAGATACTAGGAGTGGATGGGCCTGCAGAGGGCTATCACCTGTGAGCAAGGGGGGTGCAGCGTGGGAGCCGCCGCCGCCACCGCCACCCTCTGGGCGGTGGGAGTTCGGCATGCAGTTGAGTTTCTCCTGGCCCCCTGATGCGCCGCAGAGTGCTGGAGGCCACCAACGTGATCACCTCCTACATATCCAAGTTCAGCCTGTCCAGCCTTTTACGTTACCTGGTGAGGCAGGGGGTGGCACCCGCACCTCCCCATCTCCTGCCTGCTCGCCTTCCCAGGGCCCTACCCGCTGCCCCAACCATGTCATTCCTTCATACACCCCCTGGCGCAGCGGGAGGAGCAGTACATCGAGCCCGAACCCAGCCAACTATTGGGGTGGCTGAGGCAGCACTTTGAGGACGCGGAAGTGGAGGCGGTGGTGGACGACGGCGGGCTGCAGCTGCAGGCGGTGCACAACGTCGAGGGAGATGAGGAGTGCACCGCGGTCATCAGGCAAGCCTGCAGCCGGGCACCAGGGCCTGCATGCAGACCTGTCTCAGGCACACCCCGGAGCATGCAGGCAGGAGGGCTGCCGGATCGTGGTGAGGTGCTGGGGTCACGCCAAGGTTTCTGTTGCCTCCCTCCCTGCCATGCGCCCTGCAGGCTGCCCCCCGAGGGCGGCGTGCAGCCTCTGACGGATGCCAAGGGCACGGCCTGGGTGGCGCAGGAGGTGCTCTTCAGCATGGGGGAGCAGCTGCGGGAGACCAAGCGCAAGCTGGAGGCCTGCGAGCAGCGCTGCCCCGCCTCGCAGCAGCTGGATGACATCACCGCATTCCTGGCCGCCAGCCAGGCAGCAGCCAACGGCGCTGGTGACGGCGATGGCGCCAGCCCGGCGCCACCAAACGTGGCGCTGGGCAGGCGCAAGCAGCCCGAGCCTGGGACAGCGCCTGTTTCGGGGTCGGCTGCCAAGGGCCCCCGCCCAGTGGACGCAGCAGCGGCGGCGTCAGGGCAGCAGCCTGCCAGCACGCAGCTGACGGGCGGCATGAGCACGCAGTCGGGCAGGACGGATATCAGCGAGAAGCTGAAGCCCACCAAGGTGGGCCCCAAGAGGAAGGGGCCCAACCCGGTCGCCACAAAGGTAGGGCGGCGCCGGTAGGCCGGCTGCGGCTGATCATCGATGCTGTCTCGTCTGCTGCTACCTGTTCTCGCTGTCACCTGTTTTCGTTGTGGTCCCATTCGTACCCAGCCAACCGATTTGATTAATCCGAATTTGATTTGTACAGACAGCTCAACTGTTACCAATGCCATGTCATGCCTTCTTGTCGGCTGTGGGTGTGACGCTGGGCGAGGAGGCACGCAGCTGGCTCCGCAGGCCCACCGGCAGTGCTGGGTTGGAGGACATGAGGGAGTGCATGCTCATCAGCACATGCAGGCTCTTGGTGGCTGCCGCTGGGAGCCCCGGCAGCTGAGCTGCTGGGGGGCTGCGAGTGCTGCCGCCGCCGCCGCCCAGCACTTGCTGGCTGGTGGCAGGCTCAGGGGAAGCTGTCGCCGACCGCGGCCCCGCCCATGCTGCAGGTAGGGGCAGGCTGTCTGCCACCGCCGTGAGGTTGATGATTCGCTTGCGCATCGGGCTGCGCTGCTGCTGCTGCTTGCCCTCTGCTGGCGTCGCTCCTCCGCCCGCCGCAGCGTAAGCCTCTGAGCCTCCCACCGCCAACGCCACACCAGACACGGTGCCGGCCAGTCCCTTCTGCGGTCCCGTGCCAACCATGCCAGCAGTGCCCACCGCCCCATCAATGAGCCGGCGGGGCAGCGCAAGAGGGCTGATGGGGCAGCTGCCTGCAAGGGGCAAGCAAGCCGGGGCAGGGTCATGCAGCTGCAGCAGGGCACGCAGGTGCCGGCTGGGCAACCTTCTCGAGAGCAAAAGGTGGTGGGCTGTGTTCCAACGGATGCACCATGCCAGCAGGCACGGCACGGTGAGACAAGCAGCAACCTCCCGTGCGCAGCGACGCCGACGGCACCTCCGATTCCGCCAGCCCCCTCCCAGCCCCCTCCCTGCACCCGCCCCCCCACCCACCGTCGCTGTACTCCTCCATCAGTACCAGCAGCAGGGCATCCAGGTCCACGGCGGGGCCGCGCCGCCCCTGGCGCACCAGCGGCACCAGCCCCCGCCTCATCGTGTCCAGCAGCGCCGGCGCGTCTGCGGCGGGTGGGGTTGCACCACACGCGGCTGGCGCCAGCTCAGCGAGCGCACGAGGCAGGCACCCGCGCACACGCACAGCCTCCGAGATGCTACCCGGCTCTTGGGCCAGGGCAGGCTGCTCCCCCCCACACACACAGGCAGCCCCCCAGTAGGAGCAGGCCCACCTGTGTTGTACAGGTTTGCCAGCACATCCACCACGCACTGCAGCGGCAACGGCACGCCCTCCTCGCTCTCCGCCCACTCCTGCGGGCACGGCGGCAGCCCACACGTGCGCCGCCAGGGCGGCGTGATCAATGACTCTCGGCCGATGACAGCACACTCTGGCTGTCCACATGCGTGCCAGAGCCCGAGCCGCGCCAGCGCAGACCAGCGCCTGCTTCACTTGCCTTGACGAGCGCCTCCCAGCCCGCACCCAGCAGCGCCCGCAGGCAGCACAGCAGGCGCACAAAGAACTGCCAGGCGGCGGGGTGCTGCAGCGAGCGGCTGCTGCCGCTGCCTCCGCCGGCCACCAGGCCTGCCAGCCGCCCCAGCAGCAGCTGCTTGGGCTGCTGCAGGTGCGCGCGTGCCCCCGCCAGCAGCGCCGCCACGGGGCCTGTGGGGCTGAGGGCGGCCTGCCGGCTGAAGCCGCGCCGCTCGCAAAAGAACTGAGCCATGGCCTCAAATGCATTGTCCAGCAGGGCGCTGCGTGGGGCAGGGGCGGGGGCAGGGGCAGGGCCCAGCATGGATCAGCATGAGCAGGGCACCAGGAGATGACACGAGAGCTGTGGAGGGGTGGGATGGGTGTGGGTGAGTGGCTGTGTGGGTGTGGCAGTGTGTGTGAGAGGCATGTGAGGGCATGCGTGCCTCTGAAGCGCTGCACAGATGCACACGGGGCACACCTGGGCTCCTGGGGGCCCTGCAGGGGCAGCTGCCGCACTCGGTGGGCGTAAACCTGGACAATGATGGAGGAGACGTGCGGCAGGGGCGGGGGCGAGGCGGGGCGGGCGGCGGGCAGCGCGGCCAGCACGTTTAGCTGCCACGCCGCCAGCTCCGCCAGCGGGTCCGCCTGGCAGCTCTGAGGGAGAGAGGCAGCGGGAGGAGGTCTTCGGCAGGCATGCAGCTCAAGCCACCAGCTGCATCAGCTCTGAGAGCAGCATCAGCCACGGCCGCATGCCAGCCAACATGTCGGTTCACCCACACACCAGCGCCATGCGCCCACCTGGTCCTTGCGGCCCTGGAAGCGCCCCAGCCAGGAGGCGAGCGCTGCCGCCAAGCGCTGCACCTGCTCCGCAATGCGTGGCAGGTCGGCGGCGGCGGGGGCCGCCAGCTGCCGACGCACCTCGGCCAGCGCCAGCTGGGTGGATGCCAGCATGCGTTTCACCTGCACAGACCCCAAGAAAAGCCCCCATGTGTGTGTCCCTGGCTGAAAACACCAGGGGCTGCCAAAAGCAAGACCATACCAAGGCCAGCCTGGCTAACAGCACAGCCCCTGCGCCTGCCTGGGCAAAGGTGGCGTCAAAGGCGGCGGCAAAGGCACGCTGGTCCATCAGCGCCTGCTCCAGCCAGTACGCCTCCACACACACGCTCTCCAGCTCTGCAGAGGCAGGAGGCGGGCAGGCCGCTGTGCCCTGGCAGGATGTTGCTCCAAATGGCCGGCACCCATCCACGCCACGCCATGCGCCCCACGAGCTGAGTCGGCTGGCTTCTGCCATGGCGGCGCAGGCGCCGGCGCACCCGCTTGCTGCCGCGCATCCTGTGCCTGCTGCAGCTTGGCGCGCAGCCCGCTGGCCATGTGGCACACCACCACCAGCTTGGCCTGCGGAGCGGGAGCGAGTGCAGGAGCGCAATATGGAGCGCAGTATGGAGCGCAGCGTGGAGCGAGTGGCTTCATGCACACGTCTCTGTATCGCCACTCAACCCACCTTTGTCCAGGCCAGGTCGCTGACCAGGTGCTTGCGGGTGTGGTCCAGCGCCAGGGCCTGCACAGAGCATGCGGGGCAAGGGGCCCAGATGTCGGCCGGCATAGAGCAAGCCTCTTGCGCGAGGGCAAGAGCATGCCTGCAGAGCGGCTGGACAAGGCTCCCCGCCTGCCTGAGCAATGTCCCTGGGCAGCCCCGGGTCTGTGGCCGCTGCCACCACCAGGTCCTTAGAGGCCACCCTGGCCTGCGCCTCCTGCACACCAGGGCCCCGGCAGAAGTGCGCCCCCGCAGTCAGAGTCAAAAGAAAGCAGACAGCAGGCGTGCGTGCTGCCGCCAGGATGACGTTGCAGCAGCGAGCTGGGCACCCGACAGCAGGCAGGCTCCCCTGGTCCCCACACCGACCTGCAGCGTGTGCAGGCGGGCCCGCGTGGCCTGCACCTCGGCCCTCAGGCCCTGCACCTCCTCATCCCGCCTGCCCAGCTCCCCCTGCAGCTGCTTCAGCTGCGTGGCGGTGGCCGTCAGCAAGCCGTGCGCGCGCTCCAGCTGCCTGATGCGCTCCTCCTTGGTCTCCAGCAGCCGCCGCAGCTGGTGCACCAGGGCGG